GGAGGCTGAAGTGGGAGGATCTCTTGAACCTGGGAGGTCAAGGAGTGAGCTATGATTATGCCACCACACTCCAGCCTGGGTGACAGAGTGAGACCCTGTCTCAAAAATAAATAAATAAATAAATAAATAAATAATGTAATTTGCAGCAGGTTGGATGAAATTGGAGGTCATTATGTTAAGTGAAATAAGCTGGACATAGAAAGGCAAATATGACATATTCTCACTCATGTGGGAGCCAAAAAAAAGTTATGAAAGTCGAGAGTAAAATGTTAGTTACCAGAGGCTAAAAAGGGTATGAGTCGGGGAGGAAGAGAGGTTGGTTTATAGGTACAAACATACAGTTAGATAGAAGGAATATATTCTGATTTTCAGTAGCAGAGTAGAGTGACTGTGGTTAAAACAACAATGTATTATGTATTTCAAAATAGCTAGAAGAAACAACTTGAAATTTTCTGAACACACAGAAATGATAAATGCTGGAATTGATGGATATCCTAAATACCCTGAATTGGTCATTACACACTCTATGTATGTAACAAAGTATCATATGTACCCCATGAATATGTACCAATATTATGTACAAATAAAAAAGAAAGGCAAAGATAATAGATTTTAGAAAGTGGGATCAACCTGTGAAAGAAGCAGAAGGAAGTCCCAAGATGACAGCTATATGTAGCCTTAGAGAAACTGGAGAAAGAAGTGCTCTAGGGAATTGTTTCCAGTGAACCTGATAGAGTATCTGATGTGTTTGACTGTGTTGAAAATAATTTAGACATTTTTACACTTATGTTGGAAAGTCTGGAAGAGTCAGTGATAATGACAGAAAATTTGGTAAACAAAAACTGAGGCAATTGTTAATTCCAAGAAAAAACAAAAACTGTATAAGAAAGGAAATGTAGCTGGGGATGGTGGCATGCACCTGTAACCCCGGCTGCTCAGGAACCTGGGTAAGAGGATCACTTGAGCCCAGGAGTTCCAGACCAGTCTGAGTGACAGAGAGACCCCATCGAAAGAAAGAGAGAAAGAGGAGAGAGAAAAAGAGAAAGGACAATTAGATTTAATGTGTCTAATTGATCAAGAAGTAAACCACACTAGTATAAGAAAGCCATAATAAAGTTAACATGAAATACTTGATTTAATAAAATATAACAATATTAGAAAAGATAGAAAGTATAAGGTATGAATTATCGTATTTCCTGTTAGATACTGATATAGTTTGGATATTTGTCCCTGGCCAAATCTTTTTTTAATTTTATTTTTATTTTTATTTATTTATTTATTTATTATTGCATTTTAGGTTTTGGGATACATGTGAAGAACATGCAAGATTGTTGCATAGGTACACACGTGGTAGTGTGATTTGCTGCCTTCCTCCCCTTCACCTATATCTGGCATTTCTCCCCATGCCATCTCTCCCCAACTCCCCATCCCCCACTGTCCCTCCCCTATTTTCCCCTAACCGCCCCCCGTGTGTAGTGCTCCCTTCCCTGTGTCCGTGTGTTCTCATTGTTCAACACCCGCCTATGAGTGAGAACATGCGGTGTTTGATTTTCTGTTCTTGTGTCAGTTTGCTGAGAATGATGGTTTCCAGGTTCATCCATGTCCCTACAAAGGACACGAACTCATCGTTTTTGATGGTTGCGTAATATTCCATGGTATATATGTGCCACATTTTCCCTGTCCAGTCTATCATCGATGGGCATTTGGGTTGGTTCCAGGTCTTTGCTATTGTAAACTGTGCTGCAATGAACATTCATGTGCATGTGTCCTTATAGTAGAATGATTTAAAATCCTTTGGATATATACCCAGTAATGGGATTGCTGGGTCAAATGGAATTTCTATTTCTAGGTCCTTGAGGAATTGCCACACTGTCTTCCACAATGGTTGAACTAATTTACATTCCCACCAACAGTGTGAAGTGTTCCTGTTTCTCCACATCCTCTCCTGGCCAAATCTTACATTGAATTGTAATCCCCAGTGCTGGAGGTGGGGCCTGGTGGGAGGTGTTTGGGTCATGGGGGTGGATCAATCATGGCTTGGTGCTGTCTTCACAATAGCACAACATCTGGTCATTTAAAAATGTGTGGCACCTGCCGGGCGCGGTGGCTCAAGCCTGTAATCCCAGCACTTTGGGAGGCCGAGGCGGGTGGATCACAAGGTCAAGAGATCGAGACCATCCTGGTCAACATGGTAAAACCCCGTCTCTACTAAAAATACAAAAAAATTAGCTGGGCATGGTGGTGCGTGCCTGTAATCCCAGCTACTCAGGAGGCTGAGGCAGGAGAATTGCCTGCACCCAGGAGGCGGAGGTTGCGGTGAGCCAAGATCGCGCCATTGCACTCCAACCTGGGTAACATGAGTGAAACTCCGTCTCAAAAAAAAATATAAAACAAACAAACAAACAAAAAAAATGTGTGGCACCGGCTGCACACAGTGGCTCATGCCTGTAATCCCAGCACTTTGGGAGGCCGAGGCAGGCGGATCATGAGGTCAGGAGTTTGGGACGAGCCTGGCCAACATGGTGAAACCCGTCTCTACTAAAAATATAAAAATTAGCTGGGTGTGGTGGCACACCTGTAGTTCCAGCTACTCAGGAGGCTAAGGCAGGAGAATTGCTTGAACCCTGGAGGCGGAGGTTGCAGTGAGCTGAGATCGAGCCATTGCACTTCAGCCTGGGTGACAAAGTGAGTCTCCATCTTGGAAAAGAAAAAAAAAATGAGTGATATTCTCTGTCTCTCATATTCTCCCTCTCTCTCTCTCTCTCTCTCTCTCTCTCTGAAAAGAAAAAAAAAATGTGTGATGTTCTCTCTCTTCCCCCTCCTTTTGCCATGTGATGTGTCTGCTCCCCGTTTGCCTTTCACCATAATTGTAAGTTTCCTGAGGCCTCCCTAGAAGCTGATGCCACCGTGCTTCCTGTACAGCCTGCAGGAAATTAAGCCTCTTTTCTACGAGGCAATTAAGCCTCTTTTCTTTATAAATTACCCAGTCACAGGTATTTCTTAATAGCAACACAAGAACAGCCTAACACAGATACTATTTAAAATTTACAAGTTGGCAAGTACTAGAGCCTAGATCGCGCATAAAAACAAGAAAAAATGAGAAAAAAATGTACAAGTCAATAATAGAAGTATAAATGTTTTATATGGGAAAATGTTGGTAAACATGAAAAGAAGCAAGTAAAAGTGTCTCAGAGGTGTCTCTGGCTTTGGAAAAGCCACTACTTGTTTTTTTTTGGTGGGGGCAGGGTAGGATATACACCTGATATTTTTTGTTAATGAGCCTTGTAGTTCCACATGACTTTTCAAAAAGTATTTGGCCAGGCTTTGTGGCTCACACCTGGAATCCAACCACTTTGAGAGGCTGAGGTGGGCAAACTGCTTTGAACTCAGGAGTTTGAGACCAGCCTGGCCAACATGGTGAAACCCTGTCTCTACATAAAATTAGCCAGGTGTAGTGGTGCACACCTATAGTCCCAGGTACTCAGGAGGCTCAGTTTGGAGAATCACTTGAGCCTGGAAAGTAGAGATTGCAGTGAGCCAAGATCACACCACTGTACTCCAGCCTGGGTGATGGACCCAGACCCTGTCTCAAATAAAATTTCAAAAAGTATTTACAAGCATTACCTTGATAAACATTTAAAATATGAAAGAAAGGAAGGGGAAAGGAGGGAAGGAAGGAAAGGAGGGAAAGAGGAAGGAAGGAAGGAAGGGAAGGAAGGAAGGAAGGAATGTAGGAAGGAAGGTAGGTAGGTAGGTGTTTGGTGTTCATCCAGACCTGTGA